TATTATAGATTTGGAATCAGGATTCAAATATCCTAGGTTCAATATAATTGAAATGTTACTGAATCTCTTCAGAATTTATGATTAATCCAATTTTCTGATCACACTTGCTAAAGTTTACATAGATCTTCTCCTGTTGGAATTAGATTAGCACGACCATCATTTATGCTCTTTAGCATGGATTGTTCTTAAGTGACTTAAATAAAACTTATAAGCCTAAAGAAGGCATTGATCGTGCCTCTCTAGAGTAAACGATATCGCAGTTCAATTTCATAATTAATTGATATAAAAAGAATACAGAGTTATAATTGATCTCATTACAGCTTTAAATGATCTCAATCTAGTCTAAAGATCCCTGAAAAATGAAAATAATGTTTAATGATAAAAAGAGTGTTGATCCTTGCTTATGCTTAAGTTATCTGAATTTAATTATTTAACAGTCCAACTAAGCAGTTTGGTTATTTGGATAAGTCTTTGGGTTCTCGGAAAAGTATCATGTCTAGAGATAAAATTGAAGTTGGAATCATAACTCGTGTTGATTGTATTTAAAATGTTCATTCAGACGTTATAACAAGCCACTATTGGGCAATGATATATAAAGAATTTTGATCTTTTTTTAAACCAACACTAAGATCGCTTCGCATCATGCTGATGTTAGAGCATAAATGTGGGGTAGGGATTGAGGAAGTTTGTTTTCAATGGAGAACGTTGCTTTAAGATATGTTGTCAATATGATCTTAAAGAGGATCTTTGAGATCCCCATTCATGTTCGGTAACTCTAAACTTGTCTTAGAGGATCCAATAGCGGTGAATAATTCTTTCTTTGCAGTGACGATATCATTGTCCAATGGACATTTCTTTGTATTGTTATACACGAAATTGTAAAGTCATCAGATCTATCACTTCATTCATACTGAGATGTAGTAAATATTGGTTCTACAATGAATGAGTCCTTATCAACACTAACATCGTTTAAAGAAATAGGTCAACTTATCCAAATAAGAAAATCTTTAACTTTGTTTCCCGCACATTCAAGAATTCTAGAGAATAAATAGAAATAGTAACAGGTTCATCCTCTATGACATCCAATATTCTTTTTGAAACCTATCCAGCAACTCTAGACTAGTCTTGTAGAATCCAACGGTGACGAAGAATCCTTAACATATAGTGCTTCCAATGGACTTCGCTTTCGTACGCAAAAAGTCGTGTCTCCTATACTGTAGAGATCTTTGTACCACTCCGGTATCCATTTAAGGGATATTTTCATCGAAAATGTTTAAAATTTAAGCTCTCTCATCAAAACGGATAGATCTTCTTCGTATTATAAAAGATCTTTTCGGATTTTGTTGAAAGAAACGATCGATGTAAATTTGAATGAATTTTTACACAGCATCCATTTTAAGGATCTCTTCATTGCAAATGTGATAGATCTCTTCATTAAAAGTTATAGATCTTCATCGTATTCGTTATAGATCTTCATCGTATCCTTTCGGAGCTTATAGCCATTGGGCTCAAAATGTTTCCAGAACTAATCGATGTAAATTTTTATTGAATTCATTCATATGGTATATCAATACCAATATTCTTTAAGATCATTCCAGTTTTGACACAAACATTTTAGCTCAATTTAAAAACTGTCATTTTAAACTAATTTGTTTCAAGGTATGAATGAAAATCTAGTTTAATTCTATATCTTTTGAATTTTATTAAGAATATTTGAGTTTTCTTTATATCTAGTTCTTAAGAATTAAAAACAAGATTTTAAACCTTAAAAATCCTTTCCTTTTCGCTTCTAAACTCTAAGATAAAAAACATTTCATTAAAACTAATTTCAACTAAAAAACACTTAATCAGATTAAATTTCCTCTAAAACTCCCCAAGAAACCGAAAATCAATTTCATTACAAATTTCCAGAAAAACACTACAGATTTCTTAATATACAGCCACTATTAAAAACTATAAACCCATGACATGCTTAAACATATTAAATAAGAAAAAAAAAAAACAAACGAAAATAAATTAAAATACGTGCCATCAGTAGAATTACATACAATAGCAAAGGGGGATCATGCGTGACATTTAAGCATAATATGATCCCTAAGAAGGCGAACCAACTCCACACATTCTCCTACACTTGTTGTAATACAAACTTCATGTTGGTCTTTTCTTTATTGTTATTCTTTCTTAAAATCTTGGTGGTGGCATAGTATTACATGTCAAACACACAATACTTGCAGCAACGAAGAAGGGCAGCGTACCAATACCACTACATCTCAACTATTGACACCATCAACATTACGATCATTATCATCATCGATAGCAGCAAACACCACACGTGATTAATTCAAGGAATTACTTTGAAATAAAAACAACAAACCCAAATAACAAATTTGAATATTGAAAATGATGTGTTAAATGAAACAATAGATTCTTTTTGGGTAACGAGTACGAGTTAAAATAAACAATCAATTTTAACACTTGTGTGTATCAGCATTTTTTTTTTTTCGTTAAAATAATACCAAACTATCACTGATAGCAACTACTGGCAACAACCTTGGTTAAAGGCATGGGAGAGTGAGATTCCATTAAACCTTAAAATACAAACAATTACTTACTTGTTTGAATTCAATTCAATTCAAAAAAATCTAAATAGTTGTGTACTTGTTGTCTTTGTGAGATTTTCTTTTTTGTAAATCACACGTGCAGCAAAAATTTTCGAATGTGCTAAAGAAAACAATACAGGATGGTATCGTTTGTCTCCTAAAAACTACCCCCTGGTCAATAAAAAAAATAATAATATTCCTTTTTTTGTGTTGGTTCTGAATATTCCGTTACAAAACAACACGTGCAAACCACCCTTAAATCTATACATTCCCATATTCACATACAAATAGGAACCTTCATTATTGTTTTTTGATTTAATCAAGGATTCTAAATTTATAACGTATTTTTAGGTGTATTAAATGCAACCCCCTGTAGAGTTGATCGATTCGATTAGTCCCTTTTTAAAATGATAAAACAAGTGTTTAAGTAACGTTTATGGGTACAACGAACCGTTTTAGTTACCCAAACCACCCTTAAACCACTTGCCGTTATTAGGTTAAATCAAAATTTTAAATTTATAGTCATTGTCACATCACTACCACCCTTATTATTTGGGCTATTAATTCGTTTAGCTAACAAAAAATTCCTTTAGTTTTAAACAAGTGTAAAGGATCGTATTGTCTGGGAGTTATACATAGGTAGGCGAATTTTTGAAACAATTGTAACAATTTCTATTAATGAGTCGATCCCGATCCGAATGTAACCAAATTTGAATGCTAAACGTTATTATTACTTACTTTACAAATAATCTTCAAGTGATCGCTAGCATTCCATTTCATTTGATTTTATAAAATCCATAAAATTCTTACTAAATCAGGAAGCGAAACCCACAATCTCCTTTAGAATTCATTCGAGACTTCAATATTAAGTGTAAGATTTTCAATTGACACTTTCGAAAAGTCGAATAACGATCTAGATTTCCGCGAAACTGATCGCCATGGAGCAGATGTATCACTACCAATCCAGTTGTCACTTTCGTTAAATCTAACGACGATATAGATTTCCACGACATTGATTCCCATGGTCTAGACGTATCACTATCAAGATACATGCATTAAGAATTCACACCGTTGATTCTCCTCCTAATCCCATTCCAATTTCAATTCACATTCACTAATACAGGAGTCTATCCAATTGACTGCATTCTAAGGATCTAACGATGAATTAGATTTAGACGATCGTCCGACTTCTTTGATAGCGTGATCGTTCTGTGATCGCCCTAATCTTGTGCAAATATCTAAACTTTATCAAACGACATTCACTAGTTAACGAAGCTTTCAACATGACACCTTTCTAAGGATCTAACGATGAACTAGGTTGAATCGATCACCTACTAATCTTTCTATAATAGCGCTGAAAATTCGAGTCATTCTCTTCAGGCATCAAGAGGATGTCTAAACTTCCAAGATAGCGTCGAAAATTATCCCCTTTACTGGCAGTAAACATCTTCCGTGATTCCAATGCTTTCTTCCTTCACTTCCCCTGTATTTCGTTTTATAGGAGCTGAAGAGTGGAGTCATTCTCTTCAGGTATAAAGAGGAAGTCTAAACTTCCAAAACAGCGTCGAAAATTATTCCCTTTACTGGCATTAAACATCTTCCGTGAATCCAGAGCTTTCTCTTTTCATTTCCCCAATAAATCTGCTAAACTCTTTTTTGACATTTTTTCTTCATTCCACACGATCGCGCAAAATCCTAAACTTTCTTGAAGCTAAAGGTCTCTCGTTCTAAAACCATTTTTTAAACTAATCTCAAAACAAAAATCAAACTTTGGAAATAATAAATTATCCTTTCATATTAGAGAAAACCTTCACTGATTTAAGATTTCTTAAATCAAACATATTATTAATTCAGCATTAAAAAGTACAGTCATCTCATCACAATGATACATTTTTCTATGTAAAAATCCTACTTTTCATCACAGTGTTGCAGCTCGTACATTTTACTCTGGGATCATTTTTAAAAAACACACACAAAAAATCTCACAAAAATGCAACTCATTTTGTGTGGATCGTGTAAAGCAATTTAACTAGAGAACGTTTCAAAGCAAAGTACAGTCAACATACAAAAAATGAGCTACTGTTTTGATTTCAAAGCCACTAAGAAGATAGAAAAGAAGATTCTAGAAATGGAAATGTTAGAAAGACAAGTGTATTATCTCTTAATATTTTTTAAAATATTTTAGAAAAAAAATCTGGAATTTTGTAAATTTGGAAATAAAAATTCAGTTTTGTTTAAATTTTAAATTTGTTTTGTATTATTATAATTTTGTTTTTATCTTAATGCTACTTAAACTATTAACAATATAAAGCTTTTCAATTATTTTTCTTTTGAATTACAAACAATTACAATTATTTAAAACTTATATAAACTTAAATATAATAAAACATAACCTATCATTATAAAGCTGATCTATCACAGGAGTAACCCATAAAGAGTTGTAGTTAGGAAGACGATGGTTGCATCGATTAAAGCTGAAGTTACAATTAACTAACTGAAATTTTGTAGTTAAGAAGAAGTCTTTGAAGAATTACCAAGGACGCCACATGGTTTGGGCGGCAGCGGGTGAAGCTACTGATTGACGATCTTCGGAATCACTGCAATAACCAGAAGAAGCAGGACTTAAAGGTGCTTTACTGCTGCTAACTGATGAATTGGAGCTGGGTAATTGTGTATTAATTTGAGGCACTTGTTGTGTATGCAAAAGACGATTGAACTCTGAGCCCAAATGTGTCATAACAGCTTTACCCATATTGACGCTCATACCAGGAGTACCAGCCATAACACGTGATACTTCATTGACAGCATTCATATAGCCATTACGAAAGGAATCCATGGGTGCAACAGCAATTTTTGAAATGGGTTGTATGGGTTTTTTGCATTCCACTTTCATAAATTCCAAAGCAGATTCCAGCATCTCAGCTTTGTCCATGCGTAAAATGGCATCGTTGCCTTGAAATTCAGCAATCAATTCTTTAAGAGTATCTAAGCACTTGTTCATGCGTGCACGACGTTGACGTTCCAACATGGGTTTTTTCACTTTCAAATAGTGTTGAGTTTTTGAAACGAATTCTGTTTGAGGAGCCATTTTTTGTTGTGTGTAAGTAAAAAAAAATTACTTGAGATGTTGTTATGAGGAATGAAGAAATGAGAATGATGCTGAACTGCTGAGAGTCGGAGGCTTTTATACCTCTGCAGCTCACAGTCTCCGGGAGAGAAAAAGCAGGTTTTAAGGATAAGATTTTTTTATCTTTCTTTATTGTACCAAAGGAAACTCAAAGTGTGGGAACGAAATTTTGTTCGTTTTCTAGTTTGTATTGTTAAGGAACGCAGGTAGTTTTAAAACAATCTGTGTTAAATGCTAGAGAAATGTCTTAAAAGAAAATTGTTATCCTTTTGTTCAATAATAAATTACTAACTATTATTCAATCCTATGGGAAAATTTTCGAAATGAATTTTAGTTTAACGAACAAGAAAGGATGTCTAAGAAAATTGGCCGTTACTTTTGTATAAAAGGAAATTATGTATTAAGGTTTGTAATCAGAAAATTTTCTTAACAAAAATCCTGTCATAACACAAATTCATTGACTATGTATAGTTATTTCTGAGCCAGCATTTTGTGGCATCATATGAATATGAATATCTGTCTGTCTGTCTTCTGGCCTCTCCTCTCATATTAGTGTATGTCAGTTTAGATTACCATTAACAGATTGCAGTGGAGTTGTACTTACAGTTGTTGTTTTTGTTGATATCGTATCTTATGGTCGTATGGTATGATAGCCATACAACATACTTAAGTTTCTGTCTGTCTGTCTATCTTTCCTTTAGTTGGTTGGTTTTCAAAATCGTGAGAACCAATTTTGTCGTGCGTTTCCCACGCGATGAGAACACCTGCCTTTATTTTTTTTCTTGCTTATACTTCATTCCTGCTGCAACTCTTATTAGAGCTTCATAAAAATAAATATTCGTACGAATATGTGGCTTATTGATGGTGATGATGGTGGTGGTTAGTTTTGATGCTTTTTTTCTGTTGCCTCTACTTTGTGTGCATTCAGACACGAGCTTAACCTAAAGTTGTTGTATGGCGTGTGCATAATAAACTACTACATTACGCGTATTCTTAAGATACTTTTTCTCTCTCTCTCTTTCTTCACACAATTCTAAAGTTTTTTTTTTCTCTGCCACTAACCCAGCTCTTTAAGCAACTTATACAAAAAGACTCATTTATACACACAAGTAAATTGTATAATAAAACTTGATGTCTGGAATATTAATTCAAGAAACTTCGGTGTTATGAGTACGAGTACTTTAAACGAAAAGAAAGAAATGTAAACTTTATAATAAAGTTATGTCTGGCTAAAAGGAATATGTTTAAACGACGTGTACAAGTCTTCCTTTAACATATGAAAGAAATCAAATAAGAATCATACGAGTACTCAATGTATGCACAGCACGCTTGTTGCCTTAAGTCAGACACTCTCTCATTCATTTACTCAGTTGCTAATGCTCACGTTCTCTTGTACAATATATAACATAATAAGCATGCACCATGCACACTCTCATTTATAGGTATAGGGGTTGCTATGGAAAATCCAATCAACTTGGCCTGCTATATAAACCGGCTGCACAACTAACCTGCATTCATTCTCACTACAAACATCATCTAGTAAACATCTAGTAAAAAAACTAAACTCACAAAAAAATGGCACCTCAAATGGAATACGTCTCAAAAACCCAACACTACTTGAAAGTTAAGAAACCCATGTTGGAACGTCAACGTCGGGCACGCATGAACAAGTGTTTGGATCAACTTAAAGAATTGGTAGCTGAATTTCAAGGCAACGATGCCATCTTACGCATGGATAAAGCTGAGATGCTCGAATGTGCTTTAACTTTTATCAAAAAAGAAGTTAAGAAACCAATAGTACCCGCTGTCATACCTATGGATTCATTCCGTCATGGTTATATGAATGCCGTTAATGAAGTATCACGTGTTATGGCCGCCACTCCTGGCATGAATGTACAATTAGGCAAATCTGTTATGATTCACTTGGGTGGTGAATACAATCGTCTGTTGCAAACTTCAATTGAACAACAGCAGCAACAACAAGATTTATCCTGCTCTGCTCCCATGAGTCCTGCTTCTTCGGGTTATCACAGTGATGAATGCGATGAAGATAGTTCCATGTCTTCACCAGTCATTGCTCCAGCTGCTGCTCCTGTATGGCGTCCTTGGTAGTTTGTTTTTTTACTACTTCAGGTTTAGCCTCAAGCTTTAATTGAAATCAACTCAACTGCGATATTTTCAAAACTGTGATAACCAATTTAGTTTTAAGTTGAAAAAATTATGAACTGATAGTTTAAACAAAAGCTTTAATAGATTTTAAGAAAACATAAAAACAAAATATATTTAATTTAAAAAACAAAAATTTGTTCAGTCTTTTTATTTCAATTTCTTAATTTTCAGATAAATATTTTCAAGAAACTGTTTAGAATATTGAGTTGTAAGACGATTCAACCTAACAGCCCTAGTTAGACAATTACTTATTAAATCTCAATGAATTGATTTGAGCTACTTAGAACCACGTAAAGCTACACTACAGATTTCCTAGGAACAAAGAGGACAGCCGTCTACTCTATTCCATCTTAAATCGTCAAATTCACATTTCTAGAATGCCCATAAAAGAAGCAAACCTTTCTGACATTCGAAGAAAAGTTAGAAATTATCAAACATTGAAAACATTAAAATTCGACTTAAGATATTTGATAGGTGTAGACGTACCTACCACCTATCAAATATTTGATGAAAAACCACTATATTTGTTTATATTTTTCCATCTTACATTTAAAAGGGATCAAAATGTCGATTTTTTGATAGATGTGAACGCACTTTCATATAATTGAACTTGGGATATTGTTAAACTTTTAATGTATTTTAGAAATTTTCAAAGGAGACAAGAACCCGAACCAATTACCTTGAAGAAGATCGAATTATAAGGTAATGAAGGTCTGCTGAGAGTTAGGACTAAGAGAAAGTGGAAGGTTTAACACCCGAGACTCAAATTGACGTATATTTTTTTAATTAAAAGACTTGTGGTTTAGCTTCTGAAATGATTTTCAAATAAAAGTATAATCGATGCCTTTATATAGGGAATATGGCAACGTTTAAATTTCATATTTCCTCGATCACATAAATCGGCCGAAGAACCAGCAATTATGCTTTCAATATTGACCTAAAGATCTAATAACGTTTTAAGCTTCTTCGCTAAGATTTGATGTAATTCCTAAGCAAAAAGTCTAAAGAGGTTAAATCAAATCTCTATACATCCGCCCCTCCATATTTTACGCCCTCGAAAACCAAATGATTGTGAAGATTCTTAAAAAAAATATCAAAAACAATGGGTTTGGAGTAAAGGTAATAAAACCCGTTGAGCAAGTTCGTATTAAACGTTAGCGACTTTATTGATAAACAAGACCAAAGAAACTACCAATTACAGAAAACATTACTCACAATTGGTCCCATAGTTCAACTGTTTCAAGCTAATGCTACGAAGTCTAGAGAAACGTGTTAAATTTTAGAAAAAAATTGCTATTTATAGTTCTTTGACAATCTAAACAGTTTCTTTTAAAAATCTTTATCTGAAAAACAAGAAATTGAAATAAAAATACAAAAATAAATTATGTTTTTTAAAGTAACTATATTTAGTTTTTTTTTCTTAAAATCTATTAAAGCTTTTGTTTAATCTATCAGTTCATTATTTGTTTTAAACTTAAAACTAAATTGGTTATCACAGTTTTTTGAAAATATCGCAGTTGAGTTGATTTCAGTTAAAGCTTAAGGCATTTTAGTTTCAACCTTAAGTAGTAAAAAAGCAAACTACCAAGGACGCCATACAGCAGCTGGAGCAACGACTGGTGAAGACATGGAACTATCTTCATCGCATTCATCACTGTGATAACCCGAAGAAGCAGGACTCATGGGAGCAGAGCAGGATAAATCTTGTTGTTCAGTTGAGTTTTGCAACAGACGATTGTATTCGCCACCCAAGTGAATCATGACAGATTTGCCCAATTGCACATTCATGCCAGGAGTGGCGGCCATAACGCGTGATACTTCATTGACGGCATTCATATAACCATGACGGAATGAATCCATAGGTATGACTGCAGGAACTTTTGGTTTCTTAACTTCTTTTTTGATAAAAGTCAAAGCACATTCCAGCATCTCAGCTTTATCCATGCGCAAGATGGCATCATTGCCTTGAAATTCAGCTACCAATTCTTTAAGTTGATCCAAACACTTGTTCATACGTGCCCGACGTTGACGTTCCAACATGGGTTTCTTAACTTTCAAGTAGTGTTGGGTTTTTGAGACATATTCCATTTGAGGTGCCATTTTTTTGTGTGTGTTTATTTTTTGAATTTTTTGTTATATGTTTACTAGATGGTGTTTCTAGTGAGAATGAATGCAGGTTAGTTGTGCAGCCGGTTTATATAGCCGGCCAAGTTGACAGGATTTTTCAAAACAACCCCTATACCTATAAATGAGAGTGTGCTCGGTGTATGCTTGGCATGTTGTCATATCGACAGTTGAAGTGCCAAAAATGCACTTTTTTTAACAAAATATTTTAAAACTTTATAAATATTGTTAAATTTTTTATTCAAAATTACAATTTTAGCAGTTTAATATTTCCAGTGCCACTGATATTAAGTTTGTGTTCAAGAGAACGTGAGCGTTAGCCGAAGAGTAACCGAACAAGAGAGTGTCTGACTTTAGGCTTTAAGTGTGCTATGCATTCATCGAGTACTCATATGATTCTTATTTGATTACTTAAGTATATTAAAAGAAGTTTCGTACACGTCTTTGAAAAAATATTCCCTTTACTTAGACATTTCCTTGTTATAAAGCTTAATTTGTTGGTTAAATATATAGGAACAAAGGATCCCCTAAGGCATATGATCAAGATAAATTGGATCATTACAAACTATTTCTAAGGAAATGATTACTCAAAGCACTTGCCCTGAGCGAGGTCGTATAGCCAGTTAGCGAAGCTCTACTGAGAAATAGGAATAATAGTAAATTAACAGTAAAATTAACTATAGATTCTTGATCATTGTAATGTTTAATTGCAAATGTAAAACTTTTAATCACAGGAACACTACTTACACATATACAATTTTATCCAGTTGTTCTAAAGTTTGTCAATTACAAACAAAAACCCCAAAAAGGTAAAGAAGTCACAATGTCTTATTCAAAGTATTTCCGGAAAGTAAATTGTCATACAATTGATTGACGAACAGAAATGTTTTGGAGAAACTATCCTACAGAACGATATCTGACACTACTTTGCTTCACTAGTAAAAGGAGGTCGAATAGTGAAGCACTGGAAGGCGGAACAAAGATATTTGAAGACATTGATCACTTGGTGTTACATTGAAGTTCTTAGTCAAGACTTTTAAGTTTAATAATGTGTATTCAAAGTATTTACAAGAATACATTCCTTCTCCAACCCGGTAAGAATGTAACGATACCTATCGAGTCGAAAGTTTTTTGTGGAGTATAGAAGGAGTTTGTCAAATACAAACACAAACTTCTTTAGTAATAAAAAGGTGTTCCATTAAAATTTAACTGATATCTGATCCATTTACCCATTTATTTAAATGTTCAATGTCAAAAGTCTTCGCAATAATATCCTAAATCCCTTTAATGACAAACTCTGAAGTTTTAAAGTTTGGGATTCTTATTTCCAAAAAGAAATCATTGCAACCTTAATACACCACTAACGGTAATATCAAAGCAATAACACTGCAGCATAAAATGGTTATTCTTCATTGATCCCATCTAAGCATTAAACATCACCTTACTAGATAATTGACACCATCCCCCTGAACTCAAAGTTTCTAATATCGATAAAAATCAATTTAAAAACAATCAGCAATTTGTAAAACTTGATACAACATTTTAATTTAAAATAATTACTCAAGAAAACACAACCTCAACCACGTGGCCTAGCAATAGCTAAAAATTTAATTAAATATTTTTTGAATATGAACAAATTTGAACGATGGGTTGCCAAACGTGTGAGCGCGCCTCATACCATTTGAAGTTCACCCAAAAAAAAAAAAAAAAAACAAAAGAGAAAAGTGTGGCCCACACGTGACTGCATTAAAGTTTTAAGCAACGCGACGTATGAGTATTAAAATACGCAGCAAACCATAGTCCACAGAAGAGCCAAGCACCTGATACCGCCACAGCAATCAATACAAAATTCATTCATGACTGGCCAACAACCTCATCTCTGCCTCACTTACTCACTAGCTTTGTATTTAAAATTTGTTTCTTAATTAATTACACATATTTGCAACAACTATTATAAAAATTATGTTTAAAAACACAACCACAGCGCATAACAAACAGAAGCAGCAACGTAACAACATCATACGACTGTTTCAATATAATGTATATTTCTTACTCTGCCCTGATCTACTGCGAACAAGAACTGTGAACATCTGTCACCTCCACTTAAAGACCGTGGGATAAAAATATTCTCAACAAATTTACGTTACGATACAGCGATTATTATTATTACCATGGGAACTGCAACTGCTCATCAGTGGAAAGAAAGACAAAAATTAAACATTTGTATTGTGTATGTGTTTATTCTGTACGCTCGAGTGTGCGACCGAACGAACGAACGACAGACGTCGACATAGACTCGATGTGTTTTGTTTAAATAGCAGCAGGGTGTGGCAAGCAAGTAATAGGAGTAAAATTAAAGTAAACATAATGAAGTAGATAAAAACTATATAAAATAAGGAGTGAGTTAACTCAAATTAGTGAATGGCAAGGGTATCAGGTAGTATGTATGTTTCGAACGTCAAAGTATTTTGATCCTAAAAGGAATTTAGGTTCCTTTCAGAATCCTTTCAGTTTTCGTCAAAGCGGTTCTTTAGTTCCAATATTGGGAATTCGTATTTCTTCAAAACGATAAAGGACTATCATGATTGACGAACAGAAATGTTTTGGAGAAACTACCTTACGATATCCGGCATTATTTTGCTTCACTTGTCAAAGGAGATCGAATTGTGAACCACTTGAAGGCTGAACAAAGATGTTCGGAGACATTGAAGTTCTTAGTCAAGACTCTTTCTAAACTCCAATATTATATGGTCAAAGTATTTAACCATATCTCCAACAACTTTTGATAGTTCGGAAAGTTTAACTAATATCAGTCTATTTAACCTTTAGTCGATGGATATCTTTAGATATATTTTGCGAACCCCAGGGAGGCGAAACTAATTTATTTGAAGACATCGATCATTGTTCATGCTCAAGACTCTCTCTTATTTCCAATATTGCAAAGTCGAGGACTTTAACAACAATATAATAAGGTCGTATCCATACATTTCCTTACAATACGAGCGTATGATGAACTACAGGGTTTTTGGGAAAGTAATAAATACAAGGAACTATATACGCATTACTTTAGTTGGATTGTCAAACGTGATTGATTTGCGGATCCCAGGAAGGCGGAAGAAATTGTAAACAAAACAAAGTCTGTGGCTGATATCTGGCACTTTTCAGAGGTTTGAATAAATCTCTCGTTTGCAGTATATAACTGAAAACTTAAGCTTATGCCATTACGACTGAACGGGACATTAATCTTTCTTTCCTTTTTTAAACTCTCGAGATTCCGAATAAACTTGCAAAGAATCCATACATCGTCAAACCTTAGAGACACTTAAACAAGGACAATTAAACAATGAAGTTAGATTATCAAGCGAGATTTCTGGGCAAAATCTATGGCGGACATATAGCACTTTTCAGAGTTTTGATTAAATCTCTCGTTTACAGTATATAACCGAAAACTTAAGCTTATGCCATCTACTATTCGGGAACATTGATGATACGTTCCTTTTTAAAAATTCTCGAGATTTCGCGTTAACTTGCAACCTTCCAAAAATCTTATCAAATTTTCTTCCTTCGCCCAAACTATTCACTATCAAACATCCCTACACTACTTCATTCGATCGCTGTCCTTAAATATTGTTCATGAGATACGATACGATTATAATGATGAGAAAGAAAAACCTAAGGGCTAAACACAGTAAACAATTGCCTTGCCAAAAATAGGGGTGAGGAGCGTGTATGTGTCTCTGGCATTGTGTAAGAACGTGTGTTCGAACGATGATTGCTTGATGGTTTTTTGTTTGCGTCTAAAATATTTCGTTGAAGTACATTGCAAAAAAATAACCATCAAAATACAATCATTAACTTAAAAACAAGTGCATGTTCATTAAAAACAAGCACGTGTAATACAACGAGAACGGCGGCCACAGCGACAAGTGCCCGCAATAATTGAAATAATTTTGTCAAAAGGATTTTGCACTACTACGCAAGCGCAATAATATACACACTACAAGACAACCGTTATAAAAACCGCAACCCATCAAGGATAAACCACAGTTCAAGATAAACTTTTCAATTGAAAACACCTTAAAAAAATAACTAACAAAAATGTTTGCTGCTAAAATGGAGAAAATATCGACAGAAAAAGAAAATCTGCAATGCTGTTTAGTTAAGTTCAAATTTGCTGTGTGCAAAATCTTTAAGCAAATATTAAACAAGGATAGTAAACTAACGGAAAACAACAATAACATCACAGCAAATAATTTTCCTGATAATGAAAATAACAAATGTTCCTGTGACAATGAAATCGAGCAAAACCAGGCCAACGAACGTCTCTTAAAAGCTTCACAGCAAAAACATCAGCAACACCAGCCATATGTTCTGACCATAGAGACTGCAGTTGGCTCATTTTACTGGGACTGGGAATGTGGCATGCAACGTGATAGCTTTGCTGATTTTAACTTTAATACACATTGAATGAGGGCAATCTTCTACCTAGTACCAAGTACTCTGCTTGCCAACAAGACAAGTGTAAGTGTGTATTGAAGGTTCATTGAAGAAAAAGAGTTTATGAGAAATAAAAACATCAACCAAGAACAAGAACTCTAACCACAAGGACCCTTTTGTTTTTGCTGTTGCCTGAAATAAAAAACAATTTGAAACGTAAACACTCAACGTTCAACGTTGTAAATGAATGAAAATGTGTGAATGAAAATGAATTTTTAGCGTAAAAGTATGCAACAACAGGTTTTTTAACCAAAACAACCCATTCACCCGGCTCTTCAGCGTACATAGTGTGCTGTGGTCATTCATAAATATGCGGCATTGAAGGCTGTAATGTGCCCAAGAAACGAGAATGGAGGTAGAACTTAAAATAATATTGCTAATGGAAGATTCTACACAAATTACACGGGAAACATTAAGGAAAAATTTTAAGAATTTAAAAATGTCTTTAAAAAGAGTCAAGTAGAAAATTATAAGACATTGGAGACTTTAATTTAACGTAAATGCAGATTTTGAACTAATTAAAATGGTTTAAAGTGAATATTATAAACACTTCGCGAAACTAATCAGAATATGAGGGCAATTTTGGTTAACATCTTCACAACAATCTGGAAACGTGATCCCTATTTCTTATATTAAAACTTGCATTAGCTATGTAGGTTCTAAAATCTGGCAATTTCTAAATACAATTTCCTCTTTAAATCTATTGGAAATTGATAAGCCGAATCCCATACTTCCAATCTTTACTAATTTAGCGTTAGCGGTATCAGGAATGAACTTTGCTCTAGGAGTGAAGTTTCTGCTATTTAAGTCACCTAATTTGCGAATATATAGTTAAATCAACCAAAGGTCAAGAAATTCATACTATAAACTTCATTATGCGAAACCTTACTATCAGAGAAAGATTGTGAAACTTAAACGGATCTATTGGAATGTTATATTTATTACTTAGATAATAAGAAAACTAAAATTATATAAATTAAAAATATTACCTTTAATGTTGTTATAACTTTGAGCAAAAAAAGCCACTAACCTGAAAATAATCAAAAAAAAAATAATAATAATTTAATTAAAGTTAATAATTATACTAAATTACGTTTAAAATTTAGAATCTAAGTTTATTACAAATAAAAAACATATAAAATCAATCAAAATTGTTTAACTTTTTATTGAAATTGATAGAATTCCTAAAGTTTCTTTTTATTTAGAGTTTTAGCTCTAGGAAAACCAAGACCCGGATTCAGTTAGTAAAAGAATCACAGAGTTAACTATGTATGTTCACCAGCCCCCTCAGGTTAATACCGATAATGTATAAAAACTGTCGGACTCATAAGGTTGCATTAGTTTTTGCCTTTACTATTGTTTACATTTCCCTCAGCTTAAGATTCGGAAATAGTAATCCGTTATATTTTCCATATGATTCAATTAAGATTATGTCAAGGTACTTGGAAGCCCCAAGAAATCACGACTGCTGACAAACCTGTTGTATTTCTCTTTCTCCAACTGTTACGTACAGTCCAGTATCCAGTGGTTATAACAGACTGACTGTAATAACTAAAGTTCATTTTCCAATTCGTTCAGTGTCACAGGTTCTGTGGAAAAAAATCTCTAATAACACATCACTATTCCTTAACTTTTAACAGTGCCTTCACCGCATACCAAGTCTACTTTTGCCAGTAGAGGTTCGTTGATGCTCTTCAGGATTTTATGACATCTACTGATCATCTTCACTCTAAAATATATTGAAAACTTCTCCAGTAAACTTCATATCACAATACTGATCACTTTGGATACCACTGGATTTCGAGTTTTATTTCGATATTGACATGATTGTTGACATACATAACTGGACATGGAATGTTCAGGAATATTCGGTCTGAGATTCGTATAGACTTTAGCATAAAACCTTACATCCATGGACTCTGGGGTGCCACAGGATACTGAGTTGTATTGACATGGTTGTTGACATAACTAGACATGGAATAACACTATGATAATTTCAACTTACCAACCACAACATAGAATTTAATCGTGAAAATTAAATGGAATCCATTCATTATCTTTTTTATAGCAAGAAGAAGCAGGAATATTTGGTTCGAGATTTTTATAGACTTTATCATAAAACCTTACGTTAATAGACTTAATGGCAAAGATTTCCTAGATTTATCATCCCTAAATGTTTCTGCTCAAAAACAGTAGCTTCCTCAACTTAATCTCCTTAGATAATTTAACTCATATTTATTTAAATTTCCATTCGATATAGACCATATCATCATAATTATTGTCCAATTCTTATAAAATCATATCTTGTCTTTGTTAATTTCCATTGTTTTTCAGTGTGTGTGTATGTGTCTGTCTCTCTAATCAAGTGTTAAACAATCAACTCTTCGCCCTATTAAATTAAGCCAATGTTGTGTTTATGATGTTCTTGCAACACGAGCGAATCACACACCAACCGTGTATATAAAACCCAACAAGAAAACTCGACAAAAACAAAAGCCAAATAAAAACAACAGAAACTACAACAACAGCAACATAATATAAACAAAAACATTCACAACAACCTAAAATGACACCAACAGCTGCAACCAAGAAAATTTTCTCACACTCCGAACTCTCAATGAAAAAAGAAGACGTAGTAGAGTTGTTAATCAAGTCGTCGTTTAAACCATACATTTGTCAGTCAGTCCGTCAAATAGTCAGTTGTTGTGTCTAGTGTAACTGTCAAACCTAAAGTCAGACTTGAGTTTGTAATGCTCAACAGAAGCAAAATTCAACGTTCAATATATTTTTTTTTTTTTTTTGTTGAAGAAAGGGCAGGTGGTAGTTATTAGTATTTTTCTTAATGTTGTTGTTGTTTTTGTTGTTAAAACTAAACTTTGTTTCAGTTGTGTTTTTAATCTTCTCACTCACTATTTGACACTGAGTGTGCCATCAGTGTTACAGTGGTCAAGGATAGAAGATAAGTTCTTATTTTTTTTTTTCAGATTTATATAGCATGTAACTAGGGGCATGTATATGAAGTCTGATTTGTAAAGAAATGAATCGAGATTTTGGATCCAGTTAGAAATATTAGGATTCTAATAACTTCTGTGGCAACCTTATAAATGAGATCACTTGTAATTATTGAAAATTTCTTCATTCCTTTAAATTAAACTCCGCAAATTTCTTTGTTTCTGTAACACTTCGTTAAGCAACCGAAATTTCCTCATCAAGAACGACATATAGTTAAATTTCACTTCTTTATAAAAAAAATTATAACAGTCTAAGTTCTGAACTGATCTATTTATTAGCAATTTACAGAATAACCTTGAAAACCACAAACATTTCGTTAGACCTTCAACTATAACTTTGCAAATTTCCTCAGTTTAGTAACACTTCCTTAAGCAACCTAAATTTCCTCATCAGCAACATGTGTCAAATTAAACTTCCTCATACTTATAATTCTTGCAGTTTAGGTTTTGAACTGATCATGTGATTTACAATTCACAGATAAGCCTTCAAAACCACAAATATGTCTTCATTCCTTTAAACTTAACTCCGCAAATTTCTACACTTCCTTAAGCAACAGAAATTTCCTCATCAAGTTCACAACATATGTATGTATAAAATATTACTTCCTCATACCCATAATTCTGGCGGTCTTTGTTTTGAACTGATCTAGTTTTTCACAATTCACAGAATAACCTTCAAAACTACCAAAATTTCTTCAAACCTTCAAACTTAACCCCGTAAATTTCCTCAACACTTCCTTAAGCAACTGAAATTTCCACATCAAGTTCACAACATATGTGTTAAATTTTACTTAAACTACAGAAATCCCTGCCCTCACTTGTGTAAGAACTTGTCATGTTTTTACCCACTGTACACATTGTGTATATTGGTTGGTTGCACTATCAGTAACACAAAAAGGATACGACGATCCTAAAAGAAGAATGTGCTTCATTGCATATTAAAAACAACCCCATATGTACGAGATAAATAAAAATTGGAAATTGTGGGAAACTAACTGGCAAAGTGTTTCCCACGATTTGAAATTTTTATAATTTGCTACCTGTCTACCAACAACACAACCACCACCATCATCACCAGTACAATTAACATTCAAGAAAAAAACCAAGCATGAACTATAGTCAACTTGTAACGTACTTTTTCAACCCCTAAAATTTTATTCAAACAACAAGAACTCGGATCCCTCAGTCTCTTTAAACAAAGTGTGCTCTCTACTGAGGTACATGCAGCTCTCTTATGCCAAAGAGAGCGTGCGTTGAGCACGAGTAAAATTTTTATGTCCTGGGACACGTGTGGGTATATAAACGTGTCACACTCTGTGATGCAACATCATTCACTGTTCATACGTCTTAGTATCAACATCAGTACAACAAACGCTTTAAATTTTTATATTTTAAATAATTTTAACAAGAAAACTTAACTTAAAAATGGCAACCAAATACGAAATGTCCAAAACTTATCAATACCGTAAAGTCATGAAACCTCTATTGGAACGTAAACGTCGTGCTCGCATCAACAAGTGCCTCGATGATTTGAAAGACTTGATGGCTGAATGTTTCCAAAGCAATGGCGAAAACAATGTTAAATTCGAAAAGGCTGATATCTTGGAAGTAACCGTACAACACTTGCGCAAATTGAAGCAACAAAAAGAGCAAATCGCCCACAACAATGTAGCTGCTCAACAAAGTTTCCGTTCTGGTTATATACAAGCCGCCAATGAAGTATCACGCTGCATGGCCAGTTTACCCAAAGTGGATGTACAATTCGGTACTAAACTCATGACTCATTTGGGTTTACGTCTTAGCCAATTGGAAGCTCCCCAAGAAATCCCAACTGCTGTCAATACTCCTTTAAGCGTAACCTGCTCCACTCCTCATTCTTCAACTGCCATGTACAGTCCAGTATCCAGTGGTTATGCCAGCGATAGTGATTACTCACGTTCATCTCCTGCTCTATCACAACCACAGGGTCTCTTGCAACCAGCCTCCAACAACAATAGCACACCGGTCTGGCGTCCTTGGTAAATTGTGGTCACATTAACACAATTATCCATCATTGTAAAAACAAACAAACAAATACCAGTAGTGCACTTGAGTTCTTCCATTACATTAACGATCTCGTTTAGTAAATAAGATTTTTTTATATTATTATTAATTTAATTTTTGTTAAACTATTGATAGGATTTTTATTGTTTTTTTTTTTTTTGTATGTAATAGCTTTACATAATCCAACTGTGATAGGGTAGCGATCTTATTTTTATATTACTTGTAATTATTCCACTCAATTCAAAATGATTAACTATATACAATTATACTTGTGTAAAGAAAAAATTATACAAAATAATATAACTCATTTTATATATAAAAACAAACACATAAATGGTCTTTATTACTTTTTTGAAATACTAAGCAATTGCATGGGACAGGAAATAAGAACTAGTTCTCAGTTCTTTTCAAAAGCTGTAATTATCACAATTATGCCAAAGGATAATAATAATGATGGCATATAATTACAATCTCATCAAAATAAATTGTACTCGTTTTTAAAGACGAAAGATGAAAATCTATATTTAATTGGTATTGGTAAATTGTGGTTTTATGGGATGCAAAGAGTTGCCAGGGATTTTTGTTTTAAGGGAAAAAACGGATGTTGTTAAAGGTTTTACAGTGATTTTTCTAATTGGATTAAAAGTTACAAATAATAAGAAATATTCCACAAAAAAAGTTCCTCCTTTGAAAACAATTCTATAACGGAAGACAATCATTAACAATTGAATGATGCATTCTAATCTCTAGTATCGATTCTTCAATTCATAATAGTAATCGTTGACCTTTTTCGATAAAAAGTTAACAATTGCAGTTCTTCTATTACATTCGACTCGATAAATTTAGATTTTTCGTCTGAATTACTTCTGAAGGTACGAACTTTTTGAGTAACTTTTGTTGACAATTACAGTCTGCAATGATTTCGATGCTTTTTGATAAAAATATGCAACGAATTCGTACCGTCCTTGGACGTAACTGTTTCGAAAAAGGATATTCATATTTTCCTGTCTATGGTATCGAACACGATCGAAATTGAAACTCATATGATCCACTAATACTATGATTTCGATGCTTTTTGATAAAAATATGCAACGAATTCGTAATTAACGAATCGTTCTTGGACGTAACTGTTTCGAAAAAGGATATTCCTATTTTCCTGTCTATGGTATCGAACACGATCGAAATTGAAACTCATATGATCCACTAATACTACTTAAAGAATATCCAAAAAGCTCGGAATTTGTATTTCCCATTAAGCTTCTTACGGCATACTTACTAAGCATTGTACGATTGGACGAAAGTCAGATCGTTTGGTCTAATTAAATAAAAGTTATTGCAAATATTATTTAGAATAAACAAAATCGCTGCAACATCTTCTATGTGGCTGCCTTGCTCTACAAGAGCGCAGACTAAGATTTATTGGTACAAGCCTATATTGATTCAATGATACGTCACGAACAATTCTAATCAAATTTGTTAAAATCTAGTGGTTTTCTTAGGTCGTTAAATCGCGAAATTCCCAAATAATCTAACCTAATAGTGATTTGTGTATGAACACTTCAATGACTTATTTTTCGTGTCACTTCAAATGTTCAGGATAACTGACTCAGTAAACCATAAGTTAGGTTTGAATTTACGCAAAAAAATAAAACATTTTTTTGCCAAATTTCTATTTGGTCCAGGAAGTGTATAATTGAAAACGGTTTTCCATCTGAATATCTCTAATGAATCCCAAAATGAAAAACAATATCTTAAACCAATTAATGAAGAACCTAACTAAAGGCCACTTAAACCAATTAATTCGCATTTCCCATTGAAGCATAAAATGCAAAATTAATAAATGATAAATTCGTTTTTTTACATTACACCAACGATATGCATATATCATTCGAATCCATATCGAAGTCAGGGCGATCATTTGTTGACTTTGATGAGTTATTTAAGAGTCCCAAAAGTATCTTTATTTATATAACAGTTGGAATAAATCTTCAAAATCACAAAAAAGAAGAGGATTTAGGAAAGTAAAATAAGTAAATCAAGGCTTTTTAAGATACTTCTTCTACATGCGATCACGCTAACGCAGGAATATGATCAGCTAAACATTATTTTCAATATCAAAATTTTGTAAATTCATTCCAGAAACACATTTTTTCTTTAAAGATATTGGTTTGTTTGAAATGTACATATATAACGGCAAATGCATATTAAAAATTCACCAAAAACATCTGTATTAAACTTTTTGATAAAACAGTGAGAATCATTAAAGCAAGTACAATTAAATCAATGATTTTATCGAAAAAAATCAATGATTTTAAACGAAAAGAAATGATATAAAGCATTAAAAAGGGCTCGACCAAATATTTCCCTACAGAAACGAAGACTGTGTTCTTTCAAAGTTCACAAAAATTTTATTAAAGAAGCAACCGTAATTTTTGATTCTGGGCATAGATTTATAATTTTAATATGATTTCTATATCAAATAAAATGGATTGAGTCGTATGATTCACTCTCCTGTTGTAACCACATATCGTAAAAAGTTCATAGGGATGAGATTTTCCCCAAAATACCCCCAAATGAGCTTGTCCCCATTCTCTTCAAAAAAAGAAAAATCAGTCGATGGGCCCCATCAAGGTAAATTCAAGCATGAGTTTAAAATCGTTAAAATGAGACAGGTATTCGTGAGCACCGTTAGCTGTATACTTTCTTCGACGAACTTATCCAGTAATTCGATTGAGTCGTATGTTTGACTCTCCTGTTGTAACCACATATCGTCAAAGTTCATAGGGTTGAGCTGATCCCTAAAATACACCGATGTCATGGCCATTTTCATCAGGCGATGGGGCCGTGCAAGGTAAATTCGAGCATGGCCCTCAAGGTAGTTGTGATAGAAGGCAAAAATTTTATAATTTACAAACAATTCTAAAGCGGCACAGACTGAAGTTTTAAACTGTGAAAGAATTGAGAAGCCAACTTCACTTCTATTTGATAACTGTCAAAAAGACAATGCATCTTATCTACTGAAATCCTTTTAGTTTCCAATATTAATAAAATTATCTTTGATTAGGTTATAGGGTGATCGAGTCGATTTTTCAACCGGTTTTAAAACCGGTTTTTTCTGCTTTACCAGTGTCGGTTTTTTCTAAATGTTGATTTTTGGAATATCGAATAACCCGGTTTTTTCACTTTTTAAAAACCGGTTTCGAATACTTTTATTTGCTTTGTAATCAAAGATTATTTAAATGAAAGTTTGAAGTAAATAATACAGCCCGTTTAAATTTTAAAAATATTCGAGTCCAGGAACTAGGATATATTTTTCTAAAGCACCTTTGGTTAAACTTTTTTGATTTTCCTAATTAATTAAAAAATTTTATTTGTAAAATTGATAACTGTTTAATAAAATTTTATTAATCTTAAGATTATATTCCAATTACAATAATTAATTTACCGCTGAAATATTATGGAAGTGTTGGAATGCCTATGAAAATTTCCTAAAAGGGCTTTAGAATAAGCTAGGATTACATAGTACCTTATGTTTAACAGAAGTGTCCACTTTTTTTCCTATTTTTTTTTTTTTTATATTAAAGAAATAATGTAAATCAGACGACTAGATCTAAAGTTATAATCTGTTAAACTGTTAAAAATCATTTCGGGCCATGTTTTATTAATCACATTTAAACATAAACATTAATTTTTTCAAATTAACATATATTTTTTTATTTATTATGAAAAACCGGTTAACCGGTTTTTTCTGAATTTGAAAAATATCAACCGGTTTTTTGGAAATGTCAACTATTCGAACTATTCGAAAACCGGTTTTTGGAAAATTTCGAATAATCGATCACCCTATTAGGTTAAGAAATCAAATCAAAGAGAGATCAACAACGACCTTTTCCAACATTTTCAAATAAACTCCAAAAATATCCGAACTTTAAGATCAATCATATAACAATGTATATTAATTAATTACATCTTACAACACCCAACAATTGATCTTTCACCCCTCGTTCGGCCCAAGTTTCAGCAACAAGTTTACCACATTATTAAAGACATAAATCGATAAATTGCTTTTGAATCAATACTTCATAAACAATTTTAAATGTTGGGCATACAAACAGTACCCCTCGACCTAAATCGTACATCAACGTAGTCAAATGTACTAGAATTTTAAATGGAAATTACTTCAGACACACTTAACACACGAGATTAACAAACAATTTACAGGCAATAAGAAGCCAACAAGCACGACCCATTAAAATGCAACATCAACAACAGCAGCAGCAGCAAAAACAACAACAACAAAACACACGAATGTAAAACAACTGCAATAACTAAACGAAAAAAGGACAATAAGGAATAATAATTAAATAAATTTTTTCTCACGGTTCAGGACTACATGTATAAAAACGAAGGGAAGATAAAAACAATAAAAAAAACTATAGTAAAAACCAAACAATCAATGAATGACTGACTGTTTGGTATGAATGGATGGATGAATGGTTGGTTGTTGTTTAGTTGGTTGCTTTAAAATCCTTGGCATACAATAACAACAGCAGCAGCAACAAGCAATTCAACGCAAATATACAAAAAAACAATCAAGGTAAAATATACACACAAAGACAGACAGACACTTAATACACTTCTTAGCAAAGTGGTCAGAGGGGACTAACTATGGACAATCTGATTAACTAAACCAAACCAACATAACATACTAATACAGAACAACAACAACTACTACAATAAGAAGCAACAAGAAGAAATTTGATGATTCTGAACAGAATGATATCATGATCTTATTTATTCTACTTTTACTTCTACTACTTACTCTGGCAAAAAAAATGTACGAAATAGTGACAGCTGCAAAGTAATCCTTACAACAACAACAAAGACAACACCAAAAGGAACAAACCAAGGAATGAACGAACGCATGTGTTTGTCGTTTCAAATTGTCGAACAACAGAAAAACACCGTGTGAGAAACTTAGTTTCAGTAATGTTCCCACGGCCACGAGCCATAAGTTTTTTCATACAAAAAAACAACAAAAAACATCTTATAGTTAAATGTATTAAGGATGATGATTGCAGCTGCAGCTGCTTCATATACACACACACACAATGGATGGATGACTCAAAAAGGAAATACTCTTTTACAAAACACACAATACAGCAACAACAATGGGAGCAATATGAGGGTAAAAGTACAGCAAGAGAGAGCAAAAAATAGTACTTATAGGGAGGATATAAGTACATTCATACTTTGAATTTAAGTACTTTTTACTCTAATTTAAAGGGTTTGTTTCGTAAAAAGTACCTTTTTCTAAAAGTACTTCTAGTTTATTACGGATAAACAAAACAATAAATCTAGTTTGAATTTTTCTTAAAAATTTTACAAAAAATACTTTGTTTTAAGTACTAAATTTGCTACAAAAAGGCACTAATTTTTTTTAGTAAAACAAACTTAAAACACTTTGTATGCAAAGTACTCATAGCATAATCTCTAATTAATGCTAAATTTCATATTTTTATTTACACAAAAGTACTTTTTTCATAATAACTATGAAATAGTACTATTTTCAAACAAAGTAGCAATTTACATCCCTTACACATACCTCGTTCGGTACTAAACAATAACAGGGTAAACGAAAGTCTCTATATTTCCTTAAAGAGAACAACCCCTGTCTCGCCTAACAGGCGACAGAGTATAAAAGGGCTTTGAGAAATTGAGTAGGACATCATTCACTAAGCAACCATACAAGAGTAAACATCTCTTTATTTTAATTTTCTACAAGTTTAACTCAAGGAATTTAAAAACAAACAAAACAATAACATGTCCAACATGGAATACGCAACAAAAACTGAAATCTACCAAAAAATCAAGAAACCTTTATTGGAACGTCAACGTCGTGCTCGCATCAACAAGTGTTTGGATGGCCTTAAGCAATTAAAGGTCGATTTGAATGGCAATAGTAAAATTTTACGCATGGATAAGGCTGAGATGTTGGAAACCACCATTGTCTACCTGAGACAACATGTTAAACAACAAAAAATGCAAACTCAACAAATTCCCATGGATTCATTCCGCAACGGTTATATGAATGCTGTTAATGAAGTGTCACGTGTTTTGGCTTCCACTCCTGGTATGACTGTTGAAATGGGTAAATCTGTTATGACACATTTGGGTCGTTCCTACAATAGATTGCAACAAGAACATGAACAAAGAGAACAACAGCAGCCCTTAACTATTGACTGTCCTTTAAGTCCCGCTTCGTCTGGTTATCACAGTGATGATAGTGATTCACCCGCAATATCCCCAGCAGCTATTCCTGCACCTGTATGGAGACCTTGGTAATCAAATTAAAAAAAAAACCAACTGCTTAAGAATTTTCTCAACTGAAAATCCTTTCTCAATTACTGTGATCTTCATCATCAAGAAATAACAAACAAAAACCTCAACTGTGATAAACTCAAACTGTGATACAAACAAAAAACCCCTAGAATTAAATATACAAAACAAAACATACAAAATAAATAATAATTATAATACAAAAACAAAATCTTTGGTATTTCCTTTCTTTTATATAAATATTATTTTTCTTAAACATTTACAGTTATTAGTATTGACTACAATTAACTAATTATAATCTGGTTAACATTGTTGTGCTAGAATTAGTCAGATGATAAGGCCTGTTGCATGGCAAGGCAATAGGAAATGTCTTACATTAGTTTAATAAAGTTTTATATGAAATCCAAAAATAACACTTCAATAGAAAAACTACATAAACAATCTATTTGTTTGTCTATAGATTATAGATAAGGATCAATTAGGAAAAAGGAAAATCTGCCATCACTTTCTGCCACAATTTCTATACAAAATTTATTTTTAAATTAAGTAACGACACATTTAAGAAAATAGTGAAAGTCTATGATCATCCAAGTTATATGTATTAATTATATACATATGTACCTTGTGATCACTCTTATGGATTATCAATATTGATTTGTATTTGAAAAATCTAAATTCAGTTGCATAATTCACTGAAAATTCGATATTTATATAAAAAATCTTAAATCGGCTACAGATCATTAAATATCGTATCAATTTAAAAAATAGTGAAAATCTGTGATCACTTATATTTCCCTTTAAAAATCGATTTTTATATAAATACACTAAAATTGGCTGTACATCCTTAAATAACGGTTCAATGGTGAAAATATTTAAAATCTGTGATCACTTATATTTCACATTAAAAATAAATTTTTATATAGAAAACCTAAAATCGGTCATATAATCTTAAACCTTAATTAAAAGAATATCGTATTTCCCCCAATAATCAGCCATACATTCTTAAATAACGCACCAATTGAAAAATAGTTAAAATCTGTGAACACTAATGCGTATGTTGTATATAAAATCGATTTTTATATGTAAAATCGGCAAAAAATCCTCAAATGACGTTCAAATTTAGAAAATATCAAATAACAACATTTACCTTTTATTCATACGAAGTCTGTCCTGACAAAATTGGAATGCATTGATGCTGCGTTATCAGTATCGTATTTATTTCTTCTTTAAACACCAACAAACACCACACACTTCATATTATAAGGTTCAATTTAATTCATTTATTTCCATAAAGTCATTTCATATTATAGGGAGGCACTTGGAATATTTTATGGTCAGCAAGCCACTGTTGTTGTTGCTATTACTGTTGGTCGGAATCTATTTACATGCAACCACTTGTACCTTGTCATCATTTTCAACATACAAACACTTTATATTATAGAGAGACACTAAATACTATTAACACTATTTTGGAGCACTAAATTATTGTCCTAACACACTTTTTTCTTATTAGCAATACAGTTTTGGGCCTGTTAATAGGCTAAAAAGCTAATAAGAATTTTGTTATAATTTGTTAACATGGTAGAAAACATCTGTATTTATATTTTGTATTATATTTCATATTTAGCATAACACATGCTTTACATCTATTTAATTTATAATACAACATATTAAGTTTAACCAGGATTTTTTTAATTTTTACACAAAAGTTGAGAATTTTACACGAAAGAACTTTTTTAGGCGCGCAAAGAAAAAGAAACATAAAAGAGATGCCACACATAACTTTCATATGGGTAAAGTAACGTAAAGGTTGCCACGTGAAGTATTTAAAAGTTATTGTTAGCGATGAGTTATGAAATTGAAAAAAAAAAAAATTATATAATTTCTGGTTTTTATAAAATTTCATTAAAATTAGAGCTTTTTTCCAATTTCTTATTAAATTTTTAATAAAAGAAATTATGTATAATCATTTTCTACCACATTTGCTTTTCAATATTGTGATTCTGTATTTTTATTTAAAAATCATGAAAAAGTAACAAATTATCGAAATTCTGTTAATACATTTTGATTAGGCAACCCTTCTACTACAACAAATGACAACCATGTATAGGGGATTCTCTTTTTGTCATTTTCTCATAGAAAAAAAAACAAAAAAGAAAAGAATTATAATTGGAAAACTAGAGTTAATTTTTTATTTCCTGACTAAAAACAATATTTTAGAATTTTTCACTCAATTTCTTCTACAAATGAACTAAATAATTATCTTATGAAATTAATTTTAGCAAATATAATTTTGGTTCTTATACGTAATATATAAAAAAAATGTTCGGCAATTACCTTATAAGTATACGAATGCAGCCGGCTTATTGCAATACATTGTTGTCGTCGTTGTTTTTGGTGATCCAATCGGAAACAGCAAGCAAACACTTGTACATACAAATGTACATTTATTATTTTCCACAAATTAACAAAAAATATTTTACACACTTAAAATTTTAGAAACAATAGATATGTTTAACACTTTTTGCACTAAATTAACAATATAAACATTAATTTTGATTGTCCTAACTCACATTATTCTAATTAGCAATAAAGTTATTGTGCTTTCAATGGCCAAAATCCAATTAGAATTTTGTGACAATTTGCTAACACGGAAAAAAGCTTGTTCATATCAGTTTGACAGTTATTTTATATTTAACGCAACACATACTTTATATTTTGTAGATTTATAAGCCAATATATTTACTATAATCACAATTTCTTTTATTTTTTAATATAAATGAAAATTTTCACACGAAAGAACTTTTTAAGGCGCGCAGACGAAAAGAACTGATTAATGAAAAAATTAGAGATGCCAGATATAATTTGTAAATGGATGAAGTAATGAAAAGGCTGCCAAACGATTTATTTAGAAGTTATCGTTAGCGATGAGTTGTTTGAAATTGGTAAAAAGTTTTTTAATTACATATAGAACTTCCAGTAAAATTGTTAATTTTTGTTTAATTTTTTTATCAAGAAAATATTTGTTTAAATATTAAAACAAAAAAACATAATAAATGAGAAAAGTTAAAGCTTATATTTGCAAAAAAAAACGCAATATTTATAAAATTTTCAGGAAAAATCTATTTTTGGTTAAAAATATATGTGTTATTATTAAGTTTTTTTTTCTATAAAGGTTTTTAGTTTTTAATAATAAAATTTTCAGGAAAAATCTATTTTTGGTAAAAAAAAATGTAATATGGTTTGACCCAAACTAAAAATATATTAAAATTCGATATAAATATCAAAACTAACGTTTTGTCATATGATTATTTTTCATCAGCAAATACATAATAACAAAGAACATATAAATTAAAAATTTTCTTCTAATTCAGTTGATGTTCTCTCTATTTATAACCAATTATCTTGGCATAATTTCAATTAAACTTTCAAAACAATTAACCGTTTATTTTTAAAAGAAACACTGTTTGCTTATCGATACGGTAACTTTAAATTATTTGCATAAAACACCCATCACTAGGTAACCCTGGAGCTGGAAAATACAACTCTGTAATAAAATGCCACAACATTTCAAATTTTTTCCTACTCCTCCTTTTTGTTGTGTTGCAAATAATTTTGATTGTTGACCAGAAAATCTTCCAAAAAATCCTTTAAAAGTACAAAAAATTAAATGCAATATATTAAGAAATGTCGGTGAATATCACAGTTAATGGAAAATTTGCCAAACATTGTCGTCCCTATTCCATACTGGACGATCCAAAAGAAATTAGGAAGGCAGAGGAAAAAGAAAGGAGAAAGTTGCGTCTTTTGCAGGTTCAAGTGAACTATCTAAATAATTAGGAAGTTATATTAAATTATTATTATTTCAAAGGTACGCGAAGAATCCAAGAAGTTGGCCAAAAAGATACGTGATGAAGTCAACGAGGAGAAAAAGCGAGAATTGCAAAAATTACAGGCTATTAAGGAAAAAGAACTGGAATGTTGGCGCCAGCATGCTTTACAGCGTAAAGGTGAGGAATATCGTGAAGCTATATTTCAAATTGGTACAGCCCATCAGGCGGCCAAAAGGGAAAATGAACAAAGAGCCGAGAAACAAAAACAAGGGACTTATAAGGATTTCAAAAAACAAATGGCCGCTAGGAAATCACAACCAGGAAAAGTACAATTTAGTTGCCAAAAATCCTGTGTATGCCAACAAACGCTAAATGCTAGTGCCAACAAACAATTTAAATGTACTTGCACCCAAACAGATGAAACCCATATAAACGATGAGGCCTACAAACGTAAAAGAGATTTAAGTTTTTCTTCCAGTGAATCGGAATGTGAAGATGAGGGTTACAAGGAACAAACTACTTTGCCTCAAACATCATTTTCATTTAGTTCAACTTGTGATAGTACTTCATCATCCCTTAGTAATACTCAAGCTACTCAAACTTCCATGTTTGTGCCCACAAAAAATAAGTGTTTAATTAAAACCCCAGCAGTATATTTAGATGTTGAAGTAGGCACCGATGATTCGGTAACTATAAGTGCTCCAGCCGAAGTTAAAGACAAACATGCCGAATATAATAGACAATTTAGTAGTGTAATAAGGGTTAGTCCACGCAAGGCACAAAAAGAAAAGGAAAATACTTGTGAAAATCCTTCTATACAACAATCAAGCACAACTAACACTTTGTCTAGTGAATCAACAGCCAAGAAAGTGGAAGTTAATAAATCTGTGCAAGAAAAATCTCAAATTGATAAAGCCGCTGCATCAAAAGAGAAACGTTTTACCATTATTTCAGATTTAGTTAAAAAGCAACAGGGAAATGAACTATCAACGGCAGATATAAATCAAGGAACAACTTGTCCTCCTGTTTCTCAGGCAACATCTACATCCATAACTCCTCATTTATCACCGAGAAAACAAATAAGAGAAGTTCCCCAACGGCAACCATTAGTACGACCACAACCCCAGTCACCACGTAAAGCAAGTGCTACTTCAAAGTCTTCTAGAACTATAACTGACCATACACAGCCGGCAACATCTTTCACAGCCACGACTAAAAGCAATACAGCAATTGCGAGTGGCAGCAGTAGTTCCGGTCGTGTGCAATTTTATGATTACAATAGTAAGTTAGCAAAAGAACGAGATCAGGCTCCAGCAGCGG